TCAATCACTGGGTTTCGGCACGTTCTCTTCAACTACTCGACACTCGTCGAAGCATCCCCCTAGGCAATGAATACAATGCAGTTCGCAGGACTCTCAGTGCTGGACTAAAACGGCTCCTAAAAGAGGATCGAGAGACCTGGTGGGCACAACGCGCTTCCGAGATGGAACTAGCCTCTGCTTCCGGTAATGCCCACAAACTTTTTCGAATAATCCGAGCCACTGGTAACAAAAAACCCTGCGTCAGTGAAACCATATGCGAAATTAATGGCGAATGTATCCAAAATCTACAACGTCGGCTTGGGCGCTGGGCAGAGCACTTTCATCAACAATTCAGTTGGCCACCGACATCATCACCTCCAACTCCCGATGTCTGTAGTGCCCCATGGTCTGTGGAAATTTCATCGCCTACGAAGGAAGAAGTCTCTCGATAGCTCAGACTTCTGAAACGCCACAAATTACCCGGCCCAGATGAACTCCCTCCGGCCCTCTTCAAAGATGGTGGTGCACGTTTTGTTCGCGAACTTTCTTATTCCAAACCATCTGGAATACTGGATCCATTCCATCCGAATGGAGTTTGACGAACGTCGTACCCGTTTTCAAGAAAAGCTTCCGTCTAGATTGCTCCAGTCACCGACGGATCAGTCTCATCTCTCTTGCCTCCAAGCTGTTAACGTCGTTGATCCTTCGCAGGCTCAGTTGGACAAGAGAGCGTCAAATTCGCGAAGAACAAGCTGGATTCCGTCCTGGCCGGAGCTGCGTTGATCACATATTTACACTACGCCAGATCCTCGAGCAACGTCAAACGTTCAGCAGACCGACCATCATTGTGTTTTTGGACATACGTGCTGCGTTTGACTCAGTTGACGGAGCAGCTCTTTTGACTTGTCTGTTAAGAAGCGGTGTGCCTGAGAAGTATGTAAACCTTCTCAAAGCCGTCTACTCAAACACAGGCCGCGTCAAGGTCTATGATCGCATCTCCCCTTCATTTACCATCACAAGTGGAGTTCGACAAGGGTGCGCAGCTTCGCCCTTTCCCTTCAATTTCGCAATAGACAAAATCCTAAGCAGCGCTCTAGAAACCTGCAGCGCTTCCGGGGTGGAGCTTCTCCAAGGTGATCGACTCCGTGACTTGGAATATGCTGATGACATCGTTTTACTCTGTGACTCCTCCCAGGACGCTGAAAACGCCCTGTGTAAGTTAGCAATGTCCGTCACATAGTTTGGTATGACGTTTTCTCCATCGAAATGTCAGGTGTTACTACAAGACTGGCAAGAGGCTACACCTGTCCTCACGCTTATGAACGACCAGTTGGAAATCGTCGA